ATGTTCAACAGCAAGACTTTTCAAGTGAACTTGAAAGACTTAATTCAAACAAAGAACTTGATTTGAACAAAGGTAGTCCAATCTCCAAGCTTGATCCATTTGTAGAAGATGGTGTGCTGAGGGTGGGTGGAAGACTAAGTCGCGCTAACATGCCTGAAAGCTCCATACACCCAGTGATTCTACCAAAGAAATCGCATGTCTCGGAACTGATAATTCGCCATGTTCATCGTGAATGTGGGCATTCAGGTAGAAACTTTGTACTTTCAAAATTGTTTGAGAAATATTGGATTATCAAAGCCAATGCAGCAGTAAGGCAAGAAATACACAGATGTGTAACTTGCCGACGCAATCATGCTGTAGCAAGTAATCAAAAGATGGCTGACTTGCCAGCTCAACGTGTGACTCCTGATGAACCTCCTTTTACCTTTGTTGGAGTGGATTACTTTGGTCCATTTGATGTAAAACGTGGACGAAAGCATGAAAAAAGGTATGGAGTTTTGTTCACGTGCCTCACAACGCGTGCTGTGCACATAGAAGTGGCGTATAGCTTAGACACTGACTCTTGTATTAATGCATTGCGCCGTTTCATGGCTAGAAGAGGTCAAGTGAAAGTCATCAGGTCAGATAATGGTACCAACTTTGTTGGAAGTGAGCGTGAGCTCAGAGAAGAGTTAGAGAACTGGAACAAGTGTCAGATTCATCAAGAGATGTTACAAAGAAATGTCGAATGGACATTCAATCCTCCTGCTGGTTCCCACCATGGCGGCGTGTGGGAGCGACAAATCAGAACCGTGAGAAAAGTGTTGAGATCTCTGGTAAGAGAACAAACGTTAGATGATGAAACTTTGCGAACTGTGTTGTGTGAGGTAGAGGCTATTATCAATAATAGACCTATCTCCAGAGCATCAAGTGATCCAAATGATTTGGAAGCCCTCACTCCAAATCACTTGTTGCTCTTGAAAAGAAAACCAAATTTGCCACCAGGTATGTTTGGTGTTGATGGTCATTATCCAAGACGGAGGTGGCGTCAAGTGCAGTACATGGCAGATTTGTTTTGGAAGAGATGGTTAAGAGAGTACCTGCCATTACTACAGGAGCGACAGAAGTGGGTGAAGCTTAGAAGAAATTTGAAGATTGGTGACATTGTGCTCATAGTGGACAATACTGCACCTAGAAACTCTTGGTCGATGGGCAAGGTTGTGAAGCTTATGCCTGACAGAAAGGGTGTTGTAAGACGGGTTGAGGTGAAAACCCAGACAAAGGTTTTGGACAGACCTATTAGCAAGCTATGTTTGCTTCTAGAGAGTGACACTTAAGCTGTGTTTTGAGATTGTGTGATGAGGACACTGCCTTAAAGACATTATCAAGACTTATGGAGTGTTGACTGTATAGAACATAAGATGTAATTCCTATACAATGAGCTGTCTTGATGTTAAGATGAATGGCATTGACTAATATCATATGTTTACCACGTCCATGCATAATGTAAAAGACTAAGGTTTAACTAAGACAAACAGGATTATCTTATGTTATAGAACGTAGTTATGTAGCTAATTCCAGTTGCTTGGGAAAACATTGTTGTACATTCAAAATTCGCTCTGTCCATGAGTTCTTGGTAATTGTTATAGTCAAATACAAGTAACAATTAGGGGCCGGAATGTTAGAGCCGAATTTTCGGTATTTGTGGTTCATTGAGAATCCTTTTAATTGGAACTTTGTTAGGGTTTGTATGTGTGTATGGATGCATGTGTTAAGTATAGTTATAAGATAAAACATTAGAAACAGCCAGCCCTTGCTGCCAGTGGCCGTTTCAGGCTATTTTCCCAGGGGTTGGTGACAGCAATAGTATAATGTTGCAGCTAAGACTTTAAAGTTAATTGTTTTGTGTGGAGTCCTAGAGGTCGTGACCTGATCAACAGCGATAAGCATCCCACAAGAATTTCAGATATATAGTTGGACGAATGAGTGTGAGAAAGAGAGCAGATAGTTTTAAGATACGAAAGAAGTAAGACATGTTTCTAAGAGAGTGTAAGAAGATTGTGTTAAGGGAATAGAGGACATACGGTTTTTCAACCTGTCCGAGCTACTGTCCGAGTTACTATCCTGCATTTATCCTGCAACTGTGCTGCAACTGTTTATTATATTACGAGTTATTCTTGGAATGTGTGATATATTATTCAATCATTGTGTGGATATTCACTGAATTTATGGAATTATGTTATATGGAATTTGTGAAGTTTGAAATTAAAGGCAATATTAAAGTGCTGGATCGAGTTGAAACTTTGATATCCTCTATCACCATTAATTAGACAATTTAAGAGTTCACACTGATAATATAGTTTTGTTCTCTTCATCATCGATTTTCGGGATCTCATGAATAGATGTTGGAAAAAGCATCTGCACAAACGGCCCCGTGGGATGTCGGGTCAGACAGGGTCCCCAGTGCTCGACGAGTATCCATAAGGATAATCCAAAAAATAATGCACAATAATTGCGAGGAGGGCTTGGACTTCTGACCGCATGTGACGACTGTCCCTCCGAATTGAACCTATCGCACGGACGGACGGGAATATAACCCGCGAGTGGCCGAACATCGTGTTACAGCGCAGTTAGCGATATTCCAGCTTTAGCAAGGCGGCCTGTGAATAACGGTTTTTGATACATGCAGGCATATAAAACGTCAACTCCAGGGAGTAACCAGTCTCGATTATCCGGTTAAACTGATTCGATTGGGCGTAAAAGGTAAAATAGCGGCGGGAATTATTTGAATGGATAACTGAAATCAGTGATGACACGAGCAGGATGATAGAGGAGAGGCTATCTGGATCTTCGGGGTACTGATACACAATGAAACTGGTCAAACAATGTGATCACCCCTTGATTGATCCTCATTGTGATCTCTCTGACAAGCACGGTGTCTCATGGAATTAACTACTGTTTGATTAATAAGCTCGCATGATGGGAATCGGGGGGTGGGGTTTTGGGGTGGAGGTCAGCGGTCAGCGTGGCCTCTCCATGTTTATACATAAAGGAATGTTTTTCGTGTCAACTAACAGTATGAGTATTTCAATATTGATATGATTAAAATGAGATGGCGATATGATTTCAACAAACGTAATCGATTTGAAACAGAAAATTACCATATCACTTCTCTCAGCTCCACATTCCATTTTTTCACATAAAAGAGACTGAATGTTTTTCGTGTTAGCTAAAAGTATGAGTATTTCAATATTACTATGATTACTTGTGAGCAAATTTCGGACATTTATCGGTCGCTGGTCTCTGTACCCAACACACAGTGTTTCTGGCTCTGAATCCCATCTAATGTTGTAGCATTTCCCAGGCGTCGGACGCTGTTCCAGGTCCCAGGAATCTAAGGCAAGTTCCTGACAATCAACACCATAATCACGTCTCATCAGTCAGAATTGCACGAGTCTCGTGAAACTGATGCCGACATGAATAAATCAGCGTAATAGTATCACGTCTCCTCCACTCCAACCTGGAGATCGCCTTGTCCGAGTGGAGCGCCAGCGATCTATTTATAGTCTCCATGAAACACTCTATTCCATAACAGAAACAAACCTCAGAATGAGAATTTCCGGAACATGACACAAACTATGGATGCAAACAGGGTGTGGCCTGTTTCCGCAGCCAAAACGAGTATGTATGTTAATGTCTGTAGTCCTGGGCCACGTCTGTGGAATGTATACTAGTATATTGTTTTTACTAAAAGCCTAGGCAAGTCTAGATCAAACTAAACCAAGTCTAGTTTCCTTGATTATAACAGCAGAAGATGAAATTTTAAAAAAATCCAATTTTAAAGAAATGGTTTAAAGACTGAGTGTTAGTCTAGTATGACTGCTGGTCATGTAGTACTATTAGGCTTGTCTGCACTGGTCAGAGGATATGCATGTCTGAATAATGATCCCCAGAGGCTAGAGATAGGGTTTGTTATATCCTGTCATATCCAATGCTTGTACAAACGATGAAAGCCGAGATGTGTTGCCGGTGAAGGGGTTGAGGAGTCTGGTGGTTAAAGCGTTCGCTCGCCACGCCGAAGACTCGGGTTCGGTTCCCAAAATGGGTATGATGTGTAAAGCGCACATTCCACCGTCTCGCGTTGTGATATTGCTGGCAAGCTCGGCGATCTTACATTCAATTGTAAACCGCATCGTGACAAATTTATCCATAGTTACTTTGGTCCATTCAATACTCTCTGAGAGTTGCAATGTTAGGGGTTAGGGTGAGTACCAATATTTACAGGTCAAAATAACATACATGGACATGAACACATATGTTACCTTTTATCCCGTTCGTGAAACGATGCTTAAGCACAAAAGGTGCATGAGCAGTACAAAAAGACATTTATGTATATATATTACTCAACATTTGGTAGGGATGTGTGAGACCTGGAGACTGGGGCAGCGTCATTTTCATTTTAATAATAATAATAATAATAATAATAATAATAATAATAATAATAATAGTCCATTTATATAGAGAATCTCACCCGAGTGTCTTTTATCAACGAGTGTTGATATATTTGATGTCAAAAGACACGGGGGTCAGATTATATTTATCATCCAACATCATTCTTCCAACTTTTTCAGTTTGTAGACAGTAATAAGCAGTTTCTTAAGTGTAAAAGTACTGATAGCAGCTTCAGTGGCAGAGCCATTAGTGATGTCATTTGATTGTGACGTCATGGTACCCAATGACGTCACAATGGTCTGCAAAGCATTGTGATGCAACTTCATTGCAGCTATATCTACAATGTAGATATCGCTTGATCTCACCCAAGCGATATCTCCTCTGGGAGCCAGTTTTGGATGATAATGATTGCATGCTCTAAGCGCTTAGACATTTATTACCCGGTCAATGTATCAGTGTGCAAAGTTAATGAAAGTAAGTAAATGAAATAGTCAAATATTCCTCTCATATGTTGAGAAGTATATCTGATGGACACTATATTCATCACCCGCATCCCCTGGGTGTTGCAGGCACCATCCCCGATTGGTTAGATGGCAGTTTATACAGAAATGGCCCCGGCCTTTTCGAGGTGGGGACAACCAAGTATAACCATTGGTTTGACGGCATGGCTGTCCTCCAACGCTTCCACGTGACCAAACAGGAAGTGACGTACCAGCGCCGGTTCCTCCAGAGCGAGACGTACAAGAAGAACATGGCGGCAAAACGCATCGCAGTGACCGAGTTCGCCACCACCGCCTTCCCGGATCCGTGTAAAGGGTCTATTGCCAGGTAAACGTCCATTTCTTAACATACTCAAAGGAAGTCATTGAGCGATGCACAAAGACTAAAAGACCTAAATTAACACGTGATCTCAAGACGAGACTAATGATTTTCATGTTTTGCACAGGAAGGACTAAATGGATCGGTTGGTCAGGCTCACTGACTTAGTTGACTGCGTGTCTTCGTATCCCAATTGCATGGATCGATGCTCGTGATCACTAGGTTGTCTGTCGAGACATGATGTAATAAACCGCGCAAGGAATAATCGATCAATGACTACCTTTGATGTGAAATTTCGTCCTTTGTGTACAACCTCATTCATACAGTGCGTTCAACACATTCAGTCGATTACACACAATGCGCCATGTACTATTCGACTGTCATTTAGTCCCAGAAAAAAACCGTTTTCATGTTTAAATATATATATTTTCAAAATGAAAAATATATAATCCAAATGGAGCCCAGAACAATGCTTAATTTGAGACTGAGGCAATGCAGACTTGACAAATCATTCTAGATTTGCGCTTCCGTTTTTTATTTATTCTGTACGGTCTGAGAGACAGACTAAATATTTTTTTGTCTGTTTTTCAAGGGCGGTGTCGTTCGTAACGGAGACGGCAGAGCCGACGGACAATACTAACGTCAACATCCACATCCTCGGGGGAGAGATGTACACGTCCTCGGAGTCGAACATGCTGCACCGTCTAAACCCCCAAACACTGGAAACACAAGCCAGGGTCAGTCACCGCATGTACTGGGTAGAAGATACAAACATGTTGGAAATATACCATTTATTGTTCAGAGGGGTACACACTATTACATTCGCGAGACCCCGTGGGGATGCCGGGTTAGAATTGGCCCCCAGGTACTAATGATGGTCATAAGGGGCGATTTAGCCAATTGGGCGATCAGGATTGGTGACCTTTTGATGGTGTTTCTTCGTACCCCGACGAATCGTTGCTCACAATATCAATCACTGGATTGTCTGGTCCAGACTTGGTTATTTACAGCCCGCCGTTGTTTAGCTGGAAAATTGCTGAATCCGAGTGAGTGAGAGATTATTGCTTAACGCCGCATCAGACACACATCAGTAAGTGAGTGAGTTGGGTTTTACGCCGATTTGAATAGTATTTCAGATATATCATGGTGTTAACTTGATATATGTTTGAGGAAAGTGATGTAGGCCTTAGACGCCATCGAACACATCCATGGTGCTGACAAGCCAAGAAACATAATCAAGTCGAATCTCGAAATCCAATCCGTGTGTAAGTGAGTGAGTTGGGCTTAACGCCGCTTTTAACAGTATAACAGTTATATCACGGCGTGTAAGTTTAATGTGGGAGGAAAACCCGAAGTGATTAAGGTCTCAGACGTTTACCACTTCGGTGAAACCGACGAGCATGGGTATGGTGCTGCTAGAAACATAATCGGGGCGAACCGGGATTCGAACCCACAATCATAGGTTTCTGGGGTGTCTAAGGGACGCAACTCTGCACTGCGAATCGCGGCGCTTTAGACGACTGGGCCACCCGTGCCCCCTGGTTAACGAAGTGGTGCAGGTGGTTACATAATACCTCATCCCTCAGTTCGGTGTTCGCTGTTCACTGCTCAATGTTCACTGTTCACTTTTCACTGTCCTGCACATTTTACTTGAAGTTAAAACCTTGATTTTTGTCCATCATACATTCCTATAAACCTCACTCAGACTCAAATCTAATACCTCCATATGATCATGATGCTGTCGACATATGATCCTACAGGTTGTGCTGACTGATCATATTCCAATCAACATGGCGGCTGCTCACGCCCACAGGGACTGGGGCGGGGCACTGCACAGCATTGGCTACCAGTTTGGAAAAGGGAGGCCCAAATATTGCCTGATACGAACGCCCGTAGCTGCCAGTACGTCAGAACCTGAATAATCTCTCTATGATCTAATCAGATTTTAAATACAGCATGAATATCGTCTTATGATGAAGGGGGCGGTCGGGTAGCCTAGTGGTTAAAGCGTTCGCTCGTCACGCCGAAGACCCGGGTTCGATTCCCGACATGGATACAATGTGTGAAGCCCATTTCTGGTGTCCCCCGCCGTGATATTGCTGGAATATTGCTAAAAGCGGCGTAAAACCATACTCACTCACTCACTCTTATGATGAAGTGAATGGTTGTAATATCAGTCAGTTGACATTCAGCAGTAGTACAATCATATCGTGTTTACAATGAGATTATTATTTCTCTATGCAGACTTCATAGTCGCTGTTTCGTAAGGCTTCGTTGTATGATACGTGTGTATTTTACTATTATATTTTAGTATTTTAGAAGGCTCATTTATTGAAACTGACGACGTCGTTGTTGCAGATGACGAAGGAGGCTACTCTAAGTCCAGACTGGTGGCATCTGTGATGGCAGAACACTCCATGCATCCGTCGTACTTCCACAGCTTCGGGATGACCGAGAACTACTACGTGTTTGTGGAACAACCGATGGTGATAAATGTATGGAAGATTCTGGCAGCCATGGTGAAGAAGCATCACATGCTACAGTGCATACAGTGGAACCCAGAACACACCGGCAACCTGGTTTGTTTGTTTGTTTGTTATTTAACGCCGCACTCAGCAATATTCCAGCTATATGACGGCGGTCGGTAAATAATCGAGTCTGAACCAGACAACTCAGTTATTGACATCATGAGCATCGATCCACGCAATTGGAATAAGGCAACCAAGTACCGTAGTAAAACTCCATATAGGAGAACACCGGCAACCTGGTACTGTAGTAGTACTCCATATAGGGGAACACTGGTAACCTGGTTCTGTAGTAATACTCCATATAGGGGAACACCGGCAACCTGGTTCTGTAGTAATACTCCATATAGGAGAACACCGGCAACCTTGTACTGTAGTAATACTCCATATAGGGGAACACCGGTTACCTGGTTCTGTAGTAATACTCCATATAGGGGAACACCGGTAACCTGGTTCTGTAGTAATACTCCATATAGGAGAACACCGGCAACCTTGTACTGTAGTAGTACTCCATATAGGGGAACACCGGTAACCTGGTTCTGTAGTAATACTTCATATAGGGGAACACCGGCAATCTGGTACTGTAGTAATGCTCCATATAGGGGAACACCGGCAACCTTGTACTGTAGTATTACTTCATGTAGGGGAACACCGGTAACCTTGTACTGTAGTAGTACTCCATATAGGGGAACACCGGCAACCTTGTACTGTAGTAGTACTTCATGTAGGGGAACACCGGCAACCTTGTACTGTAGTAATGCTATATATAGGGGAACACCGGCAACCTGGTACTGTAGTAGTACTCCATATAGGGGAACACCGGCAACCTTGTACTGTAGTAATACTCCATATAGGGGAACACCGGTAACCTGGTTCTGTAGTAATACTCCATATAGGAGAACACCGGCAACCTTGTACTGTAGTAGTACTCCATATAGGGGAACACCGGTAACCTGGTTCTGTAGTAATACTTCATATAGGGGAACACCGGCAATCTGGTACTGTAGTAATGCTCCATATAGGGGAACACCGGCAACCTTGTACTGTAGTATTACTTCATGTAGGGGAACACCGGTAACCTTGTACTGTAGTAGTACTCCATATAGGGGAACACCGGCAACCTTGTACTGTAGTAGTACTTCATGTAGGGGAACACCGGCAACCTTGTACTGTAGTAATGCTATATATAGGGGAACACCGGCAACCTGGTACTGTAGTAGTACTCCATATAGGGGAACACCGGCAACCTGGTACTGTAGTAGTACTCCATACAGGGGAACACGGGTAGCCTGGTACTGTAGTAATACTCCATATAGGGGAACACCGGCAACCTGGTACTGTAGTAATACTCCATATAGGGGAACACCGGCAACCTGGTAATGTAGTTGTACTCCATATAGGGGAACACGGGTAACCTGGTACTGTAGTAATACTCCCTATAGGGGAACACCAGCAACCTGGTCCTGTAGTAATACTTGATATAGGGGAACACCGGCAACCTGGTACTGTAGTAATACTTGATATAGGGGAACACCGGCAACCTGGTACTGTAGTAGTACTCCATATAGGGGAACACCGGTAACCTGGTTCTGTAGTAATACTCCATGTCGGGGAACACCAGCAACCTTTTTCTTATAGTAATACTTGATATAGGGGCAACATCAGCAACCTGGTACAAAAGTAATACTTCATATCGGGGAACACTGGTTACTTTGTACTGTAGTAATACTTCATATCGGGGAACACCGGTTACATTGTACTGTAGTTATACTTCATATAGGGTAACACCGGTTACATTGTACTGTAGTAATACCTCATATAGGGGAACACCGGTTACATTGTACTGTAGTAATACTTCATATTGGGGAACACCGGTTACATTGTACTGTAGTTATACTTCATATAGGGGAACACCGGTTACATTGTACTGTAGTAATACTTCATATCGGGGAACACCGGTTACATTGTACTGCAGTAATACTTCATATCGGGGAACACCGGTTACATTGTACTGTAGTAATACTTCATATCGGGGAACACCGGTTACATTGTACTGTAGTAATACTTCATATAGGGGAACACCGGTTACATTGTACTGTAGTAATACTTCATATAGGGGAACACCGGTTACATTGTACTGTAGTAATACTTCATATTGGGGAACACCGGTTACATTGTACTGTAGTAATACTTCATATAGGGGAACACCGGCAACCTGGTACAAAAGTAAAAGTTCATAAAGGGGAAACACCGGTTACATTGTACTGTAGTAATACCTCATATAGGGGAACACCGGTTACATTGTACTGTAGTAATACTTCATATCTGGGAACACCGGTTACATTGTACTGTAGCAATACTTCATATCGGGGAACACCGGTTACATTGTACTGTAGTAATACTTCATATCGGGGAACACCGGTTACATTGTACTGTAGTAATACTTCATATCGGGGAACACCGGTTACATTCTACTGTAGTAATACTTCATATCGGGGAACACTGGTTACATTGTACTGTAGTAATACTTCATATAGGGGAACATCGGTTACATTGTACTGTAGTAATACTTCATATAGGGGAACACCGGCAACCTGGTTCAAAAGATAGTTCATATAGGGAAACACCGGTTACATTGTACTGTAGTAATACTTCATATCGAGGAACACCGGTTACATTGTACTGTAGTTATACTTCATATAGGGGAACACCGGTTACATTGTACTGTAGTAATACCTCATATAGGGGAACACCGGTTACATTGTACTGTAGTAATACTTCATATCGGGGAACACCGGTTACATTGTACTGTAGTTATACTTCATATAGGGGAACACCGGCAACCTAGTACAAAAGTAATACTTCATATAGGGAAACATAGGCAACATGGCACTATAGTTATACTTCACATAAGGGGACATCGGCATTCTGGTACTGTGGTCATACTTTATATAAGGGGGACATCGGCATTCTGGTACTGTGGTCATACTTTATATAAGGGGGACATCGGCAACCAGGTACTGTGGTCATACTTTATATAAGGGGGACATCGGCAACCAGGTAGTGTGGTCATACTTTATATAAGGGGACATCGGCAACCAGGCAGTGTGGTCATACTTTATATAAGGGGGACATCGGAAAACTGTAGATGACGAAATCCAAGAGATCTGTAAAATCAGCTCCTTTTACAAAACGATATTACCTGCATAACAATGTTGATTGTTCGTCCTTCTTATGTTTGTTAAACGTATATACTCATGACGTGAAACATTTATACTCATGACTTGAAACATTCGACAACGTTTTGCTGTCTTCTAGACTCGGTTCCACGTGATCGACAAGCGCACTGGGAATGAGGTCAATGCTGAATGCCCGTATGTAGCCGACGCCTTTCTAGTGCTGCATCACATCAACGCATTCGAAGATCAAGGTCGGTAACTCAGCGTCTTGTACATCAAGCCTTCATTGTCCTATGAATACAGTATCCATCATATCGCTACTGCCGCTGTACCATGGTTGCTGGTGATTTCGGTTCGGTCAGTGATGCTTAAGAGCTTACCTGCTTTGGTATAGGGCGATGAGGTGACATGTTGTTTAACGCCGTGTTCAGGACTATTGCACGCATATGGCGACATGCATGCACGTGTATGTGTGTGGCTGCTTGTACTTGTCTTGACTGATGCCAGGATTTTAGCGCTATCTGACTGATATACCATGTCGCATGTAAACGCCACTCAGATACAGTATACTCCAGACTCCGGGCCGACCAGTCCATGTTTTATCCCCTTAATACTGAGCGCCAGGCAGAGCAACAACAAGTGCCGTCTTTTAACGTGATAGTGTATGACGCGGCCGGGGATCGAACCACCGACCTTCCCGACGCTTTATCTACTACACCACGGAGGAGATGTTAGTATATTTTTTTTTGGGGGGGGGGGGGGGTACGGGTGGCCCAGTCGTCTAAGTCGCCGCGATTCGCTGTGCAGTTACGTCCCTTGGACACGCCAGAAACCTAAGATTGTGGGTTCGAATCCCGGTTCGCCCCGATTATGTTTCTAGGTTTGTCAGCACCATACCCGTGCTCCTGGGTTTAACCGAAATGGTAAACGTCTGACACCTGCATCACTTCGGGCTTTCCTCCAACATTAAGCTGACACGCTGTGATATAACTGTTATACTGTTAAAAGCTGCGTTAAACCCAACTCACTCACTCACTCACTAGTATAGTTTTGTCGAGGAAAAGTGAACGTTGACGTACTGTCATTGATAGTCATATATCATGCTACTTCATTAAGGTGTCACAGCATTTTTATCCCCTAATGATTATCCCTTTAATACTCCTTAGCCCAGTGATAACACTGAATCGTTCTCTGTCAGCTGCCGATAATACCCCAATACACCAACTAGTCGTCATTTATTACGCAACACGAAACTATGATTGGCCTGAAAGGTGGTACAATAGTGATGGATTGTGATAGGCATCAGGCACTTGTGTATCAGCCCATCACAGGACGGATGGGGGCCAGTCGTCTTCTCTGTGCAGAGTTGCGCCCCTTATGATCGCGGGTTCGAATCCCGATTCACCTCGATTAAGTTTCAAGGTTCATCAGCACCATACCTGTGCTCGTACGTTTCACCAAAGGTAAACGTGTGAGACCTCACTTCGGGCTTTCCTCCACATTATCCTGAGAGGCGGCTATATAACCGAAATACGCTTCAAAACTGCGTGAAACGCTGGACTTATTAAGAGATTAATATATTTTCGTGACAGTCATATTTCCAGTATCGCCGACCGGGTCTCTGTCACCCAGAATATCCTCTTCCCATGAATCCAACCACGTTCCAGTTTGTCCCTTGTCTCAATAGTTCCAGTGTAAATCGCAGCTGATTGATAATGAAAACTGACACCAGAACAGACAAACAGAAAAACGCGTGTATTCAAGAGCGTGTTTTTCTTGAAGCTGACAAACTTCACAGCTGCATTGTGTCCGAATCTTTAAATAGTCTTTTTTATGTCGGAACTGTCGTGGAAGATGTGAGGTCCATGTGATGCAGGACGGACGGACACAAAGCAACAAACCTTTTTCATAATCATAAGAGAGCTGAAAGCAGAGTTCATTCTATTATTCCAACTTATATTATTAATTAAAATCAAATACCTGATGTTTGGGAAGAGGTGAGCCTACCCTGTACCCCCGTTGGCCAGCACGTAAAGGCAAGTCAACTGTTCACTTGAAAAAACACGGGCTCATTCGCTTCAAGTCAAAATAAGGAAGTGCATCATACATCATTTTTGTAACTGAACCGTCAAATTTAGAAATATCCTTCAAATGTCTACCATAAATCCTTTTGAAAGCTTTACTGAGGCATTGAATGTTGTAACCTTGATCACACACATTTTAATTCAAGTCAAAGAGTCAAACATTCAATTCAATTCTTTATTGTGTGAAAGGCTAGAGGGCCCATATGAGTGAGTCACATGACACATTAGATACAAAGTCAAGGTGACAATTCATTTCGTAACAAAAAAAACCATAATGTATGTACAAAGCTCGTTTGTGTTATTTTGGGGTCCCTTCAGGATAGTAATGACGACAATCTTGTAGCATTAGAATGAGATAAACACCACTTACCACTGTAAGTACTTGTTTCTTAGATTCTCGTATATACATATAGGGAAAATTAGCATAAAATGGTATTCATCTTCGACAACAATGTCGCAAAGGGGGCATAACCTTATGGATTTCTCAATAGATAAAAATCTTCTTTCTAAATTTTTTATCATTCACGCCAAGTCTAAAACGAATACTGATGTTACGAAAATTCCTGTGCCATAAGTTTGATAACTAGGATTCTGGCTCAAGCAACAAGTTGAACTGGCGATAGTTATCATATCTTGAATTTTCGTAAATATCTGAATGCCATTTCTGATGAAACATATCAAAACACGCATGCTAAAGTGCTTAATGAAATCACCAATTGTCTGGGACAGCCAAATAATACCAAAGCCTTATGTAAAAAACAATGAACGTACACAAGAAGGTGATTTAGTCATACTTAGATTATCGATATAATAGATTAGTATGACCGTCTTTAAAACTAGCTTCTTACGAAGAATATACTCGATTGTACCTCATAAGTCACGGAGCCACTGAAACATTGATTGACATGATGGGAAATGTTTTTTTGTTATGTTTTTTTGTTTCTTGTTGTTGTTTTCTTTTTTTCTTCTTTTGTTTTATGATGGGAAAGTTGACGACTGGAAAGTCCATGGATTTCATCTACATGATACATAATTAATTGTTGATACCAATTAAGTGTGACATGACATATTCAGATTAAATATTCATATACATATAAATATTCTGGTGTATGATAATACATGTTATGCATAGCTATTTTGTCAGTGAAGGTGTTGACATCCCAAAACTGGACATGCTAATTAAACTAGGTGGTAATCTTGTATTTTGTCAGTGAAGGTGTTAACATCCCAAAACTGGACATGCTAATTAAACTAAATGGTAATCGAGAATTTTGTCAGTGAAGGTGTATGCTATCCAAATACTACATATGCTATAAAAGCTAAATATATAATTATAATACTGTTGAAATTTGTCAGTGAAGTGTATGATATCCCAATACGGAACATGGTATATAAGCTACATCATACACTTGAATGTCGACTGTCTGGGTCAGACAAATATCACACATGCTGGGGACATCAGATCGGTAGAGTGGCCGCCTCAACTATCCCAGCAGTCATTGATTGCCTGGCTCCACCCAGGTCGTACGAGTCAACGTGATAAACTTTCCCTGTAAACTGTTCAGAGCTAACCTCGCTTGTGACCTGGTCCAACTTAGAAGAAGGAATGACTTCCATATCACCCAACACTCAATATCCGATGTGTTAAGTATTCCAATACATATGTGTTATGCAGTTTAAACGCTTTCAAGCTCGAGCACCTCTATTGTGTTTGTGTAATCTCAGTTTCGTGGAGGATTCGGCGATTACTGAAAATCATGAAATTAATGCGAGTGTCCATCCCTTTCCTAGAATGCGACATGATATCAATGCGAGCAACACTGACTTTGAACAATAACAAACCAGTAAACGATAACACCAAGACTGTAGACTTAGAATTACATGGTTTTTTGGGGGGAAGGTAGTATTTCGATTTAATGATATCACTGCTATCTCCCCAATATTGGAACCTGTACAATCTTTGTCGGTGACCCTACCTGTCTCGTTTGGATATGTGTTGAAACCGTTTGAGTGAGTGAGTGAGTTGAGTTTAACGCCGCTTTTAACAGTATAACAGTTATATCACGGCGTGTCAGCTTAATGTGGGAGGAAAGCCCGAAGTGATGCAGGTGTCAGACGTTTACCACTTCGGTGAAACCCAGGAGCACGGGTATGGTGCTGACAAACTTAGAAACATAATCGGGGCGAACCGGGATTCTAACTCACAATCATAGGTTTCTGGCGTGCCCAAGGGACGCAACTCTGCACAGTGAATCGCGGCGCCTTAGACGACTGGGCCACCCGTGCCCCCCGTTTGAGTTAAGTGTTACACGAGTTTGCGCAATACTTTGAACTTAAATGAGAGGTGTTATGTATTCACGACTGGACATTTTCACAACGTAGGTGGGAAGTGTTCGTCTTGACATTATAAGATTTTTTGACAAGATTACCATGGACAAAGACACCGTCATACACGGTGGGTGACTGGCGTAACGGCTTGATCAAACAAACTGACCACACTTCGTGCGGAACTTTGTGAAAGGCCTTGTCTAAATCTCGGTCCCAGTTATATTGTTTATTGTGAGTTTTGTTATATATGCCATTGTTTCCTCCCATGAGCGATTCCGGGGTAGAATAGGTCTTCAGCAACCCATACTTGCCGTAAAAGGCGACGATGCTTGTCGTAAGAGGAGACTAACGGGATCTGATGGTCAGGCTCGCTGACTTGGTTGATACATGTCATCGTATCCCAATTGCGTGGATCGATGCTCATGATATCAATCACTGGATTGTCTGGTCCAGACTCGATTATTTACAGACCGCCGTCATATAGCTGGAATATTGCTGAGTGCGGCGTTAAACAACAAACCAACCAACCAACAACCTCCCATGAGCAGTGAAGCTGACATGACACTAGACTCGGATATGTCCAGATGAAAATGCGTCACGCATTAATTTCACGATTACCCTTATTTGAGTAGCGGGTGCTATCGGTAGCGCAGGGCATTCTTACCCTTTTCACTGATTTTCGATGATCCATTCATATATATTTCTTTACGCCCAGTGGAATCGGCGGGTAATCTGGATTATAATCTGGTTATTCTCTGGCGTTTTATATTTACAAGTAGGGGCGGCCGGGTAGGCCAATGGTTAAAGCGTTCGCTCGTCGCGCCGAAGACCCGGGTTCGATTCCCCACATGGGTACAATGTGTGAAGCCCATTTCTGGTGTCCCCCGCCGTGATATTGCTGGAATATTGCTAAAAGCGGCGTAAAACCACACTCACTCACTCACTCACTCACTCACTATATTTACAAGTATTTGGATATTGTGCTATATATCTCATCTTTTGTGGAACTTGTGACTTGTCAATAAACGAAATGTTTAATGGAGTCGGGGTTTGTATAAATATTACCATCGTAACTTTGAACATAAAACTGGCCCTCGAATGACGTTATGTGTGACGTCATGTGTTTATTTCAACACCTAGAGCAGGACGCCAAATGGGAATGTACACCTCACAGATAATGGATCCTTCATAGACCCGAGCCCCAGACATTCAATAACACCAAAGTACATCCATGCATTTATGTAAATCTGAAACACTGGTGTGCATGTGCATGCATATTAATGTGGACATATAAGGTTAAAGTTTAAAGTAGTATACAGTAAGTTTTATACAGAAGCGTTTGGTATCAATAAATCCAGATTATCAACCACTCCAATACCTAGCGTTCTAAGAGCTCATCCGTTTACTGTACCTTGTGTAAACTAGAAGCCAGGGTGACAAATTATCTTGTTTAGTACTCGGCCGTCGTTCACCATATAGTAGTGATCGAGTCGGCTTATATTGCCTCCATGTTCGCGTGGAATTCTGCCGGTCCGCATTAATGGCATCTTGCTTATTGTATATAGGTTTTCGTTACGTTATGTATGACCCGATAAATTGAATTACAAGACGGGATAATTTTTTTCTAAAGATTTCTCTGGGAGATTTGTTTCTAATTCAAATATATCGCTGCATTTAAAAAAGGCTAAATATGTATACTTCTTTGGAAATTTTGGAAAATTGAACATCCACGAAGTAGACTTCATGAATTAACTAGTTTGTATCAAATTAACGTCGTCGTAGTTTATGGACCTTTCAAAGATTTACATTTTTGAATTTTTCTCACTAAGTTTAAAACAAAAGAAAGCAAGTGGGGTTTTTTCAGCCTAGTGAGGTATATAAAAGGGACAAAACCCTTTCCATATTCATAAGGAATGATCTCTATAGAAGGCAGAGTCGATTGTACGATTCTGACTAATCAATGTGTTTTATGAATCACTACCAAACAGTGATGACACCAGGTGTTCGCGAAAAGGTGAGTGTACACAGTTAAATATGTTTAGAATGTAAACACAGACAAGACATGTTTAGATCTAAACGTGATTAGGAATGTATTTAAGGTGAGCGTACCCTGCCGACCGCTGGCACTCGTCACACTAGATCACTCTAGGCTACTAAACACTATTAATTTTGTTTCTACTCGTTGTTAAATGCATTGATTGCATAAATTCATGAGATTTCGTTAGCTCTTCATCAGATTTTGTCTGGTCAATGGTTCCAGTTTCACACATCACAGATACCATTGTTGACATGTTTTTCTCTTCCCAGGGCAACTAGTGGTCGATGTCTGTGGCTTTCATGTTGGCGACATCCTGGACAAGTTCGACATGGAACGCCTCAGCAGTGACAAAGCTGAAGAGGTTATCAATAACCTGCCACGCCCTCACCCATGGAGATACGTCTTGCCTCTTGAAGTAGATACAAATGTAAGACTTAGCTGATAGGTCACAAAATGATCACTGATTGGACGAGGTCGAGGAGGAACACGGGGTTGATGTTGTTCCTTCATAAGTGTCCATGCTGAAAGGGGATGTTTCTCCCATGCCCTTGCGACCGCCTCCGTGGTCTAGTGGTAGAGCGTCCGCCCGGATAGAGGAAGGTCCAGGGTTCGATGCCCGGCCGCGTCATACCAAAAGACGTTAAAAGATGGTACTTGTTGTTACCCTGTCTTGGGCTCCCCATTAAGGGGCTGAAACAAGGACTGGTCGGCTCGGAGTCAGTATACTGTGTCTGAGTGGGGTATTCTTGTTAAACTGCGGCATGGTATCTCAGTGGGCTCGCACTTAAAATCGGCATCAATCCGGACTAGTACAAGCAGCCACACACATACGTGCATGCACCTCAACCTTGCGATTACCGGCAACGTTTTTTTTAATTTGTCTGTCTTTGAAATATCATGAAATAAAATCATGTTTCCGTCACCAGTCATTGGGCGAATCTAGTTTTACGCCGCAGTCAATATTCAACCTTTCCGAAGGCAATCTTGTTAATATTTGAGTCCGAACCAGGTACAACAGTGACTGACTTAAACGTTATCGAAGATGCAAAATGACACGCAATGAGCTAAGTCACAGAACGTGACCACTCGATCCAATTAAGTCGACTCTTCCGACCAACAATGGGGTCCTGGGAACCTATGCTGACCCGGGTCCCCACGGGTTCACAAAGACAGGAGGTTTATGATAACACTAACAATTAACTAGGGTTAATGGAAATGTTTGGAGATGTCTTCACTTCACGCCCTTCATGTGCAGCACACCTACAAGTGGCATGTCGCCGCCTATAAACCTGCAGCACTATGCCCGGTCCATCGATATACATATTGATGAAGGGCTTAGTAGCCTGATTGGGAGAATTCAACTTGCTCTGACCGGACAGTTGTACCATATTGGATCGGACTTGATCAAAAGGTCTAATTTCAGTGTTGTGTACTCATTGAGCAGTTGATTAACTGACTACTTCGGCGTATAAGTAGGTAACCACTTTAATGGCAGTGTTTCCTCACGACGTATCGGGGCATGTTCTGACCTAAACATAAGGCAACATCTTCTGACCTCATCATAAGGCAACATCTTCTGACCTCATCATAAGGCAACATCTTCTGACCTCATCATAAGGCAACATCTTCTGACCTCATCATAAGGCAACATCTTCTGACCTCATCATAAGGCAACATCTTCTGACTTCATCATAAGGCAACATCTTCTGACCTCATCATAAGGCAACATCTTCTGACCTCATCATAAGGCAACATCTTCTGACCTCATCATAAGGCAACATCTTTCTGATGGTGTAATTAGCGCCGTAGTTACAATCTCCGCCGCACCACCTTTGTTTTGGTCATGTATGACAAGACTGTCATGTCATATTAATTTCCTACAGTATGGAAGTATTCAAATTACGAATCACCCCTAAGGTGACTGGATATGTGCCTTCATCGAGGTGTAATCACTATAATATCTTTTGAGAGTATCCATTGATGCATAATACTTTTTATGACAACTCTACAGAATTCTGTGGGTGCTGTATTGGTAATTGTTTACCTGAAATACCATGTTGATGGTTTCTAAATGTTTTTTTCCTAAATCTATATCTACTTCGACATGGAGTCATCTCATGTGATGTGGAATTGCGTCTTACTGTGACGTAAATAGGTTTTGTAAACTATTTCTGTCTTTTAACTGTACATTGATAGACGCCATATAATTCAAGGTGGAGTTTTATTTCCCTCTTTCTTACTTCCTCTGGGTGTTTATATTTAATTGTTAACAATGTTCATAAAAATATATTCACGAAAAAGTGAGAAATATACTTTACAGAAGTAGAAGTAAAAGTTACGTTTAAGTGAGTGAGTGAGTATGGTTTTACGCCGCGTTTAGCAATATTCCAGCAATATCACGGCGGGGACACCAGAGATAGGCTTCACACATTGTACCCATATCGGGAATCGAACCCGAGTCTTCGGCGTGACGAACAAACGCTTTGACCACTTAGCTACCCGACCGCCCAGTTACGTTTAAGGATGAAGTTGGGGAAAATAAACAACTGCATAGTTACCTCCCTTGTGCGATTCAACAGGAAGTACATTTGTAGGTTTACAGCAGATCTACTGTCGTATCAATCGTTATGTCAAATTAATGAAGAACCTTGGGTTAGAGAGTGAGTGAGTGATGTTTAACAACAGTATTTCAGTTAAGATGAGCCTTTGAGGCTCTTAAGGACAAAGAAACCATGCATACAGCGGAAAGAAATGCTGATCACTGTGTGAAAGCATTTTCAGATCTTTAAAGGAATAATAATAATCACATAGCATCTCTCTGTCTAAAAATGTTAACACATTAAACGCTAGGTTCTCTAAATATCTTCGGTTTTCATTTTGCATGGATAAATACAGCAATATTCAAAAGTCATATCAGAGAGGTACTCATCTGAAGCCTCTTGATGTTGATGTTGATGTGGTTCTATTGTAACACTTCTATAAGTTATTTGCAGTCTATTGTATCACAGAGCAACAGGGAAACATTCTTGAGAAAAACAAACGTGCCAATCGTGAATCTAAGCTCAGATCAGCATCATGTGGATGTTTCGATAATAACATGTTTAAAATCTATAAACAGATTTCCGACACTATAGCAAAGATAATGTACATCATGGGTATTATTGTATACATATATTAAATATATCTCTAGATTGCACGGTATGACAAACCATGTAAGGTTATTGGCGTTTGTGGTACAAGCATCTATGACCCACGTGGTCCAGTCTAGGGTTCCTCTGCTACTGACTCTGATCTGTCTTCAGGCTTCGTGTTCATAATGTAAGACACTGAGGGCTGATAGCATCCCATTCTGTCATGTTTGTATACATCATAGGAAAGAGGTTGTTTGATGGTTGGTATGGCGCTCTTCTTTTCCAGTCAGAGTCAGAGAGCAACCTTGTGACGCTTCCAGACTCAGAAGCCACGGCTGTGATGAAGAAGAAAAAGATTTTCTGCACGTACCAACCACTGTCGACAGAATGTAGGTGGACACAAATGCTTTTTCATATACATTGCATTAAAGGCCCGTTGGTCCTGAGTCCGACTTCTGGGCCAGCTTGCACAAAGCTATCTTAGCGTTTCAATCATTGTCAGGGGATTTTACATTGTAAGAGTTACAAAAGCCGTAGCGTCGCTTTGTGCATACGGGTCCAGGGCCTCATTACACAGCACGATCGAAAGACTACGACTGTCGTCAATCCATATCAAAGACCAAGCGTTACAATAGTCATACAGCTAAGATCGCTTTGTGAAACGGGGCCCTGGACATTACGACCAACCCATGTCTCAGCAATAGGGAAGTTTGTGAATCCGGATTTATACGGAAAACATACTGTCCTTGTTCATGGGGTTTCGCTATATTGGGAATTCAGCCTGCCGTTTTGTCTACGTTTGCTAATTCAGTCAAACACGGTGTAGATCACGTTGATATAACGAGTGGAAGATGTAGCATGCTCAAAAACGAGTCTGGACGGATGCCGGTTTTATTGTGCCTGCTCACTGAGATGCGCAGTTGAACATGAATACCCCACTCAGACACAGTATACTGACTCCGAGTGGATCAGTCCATGTTTTAGCCCCTTAATGCTGAGGTGAGGTGAGGTGAAATGGGGTTTAGAGATTATTGCACTTATATAGCGACGTGCATGCACGTGTGTGTGTGTGTGTGTGTGTGTGTGTGTGTGTGTGTGTGTGTGTGTGTGTGTGTGTGTGTGTGTACCAAGTACTATTAAGGGGCTAAAACAAAGACTGGTCGGCTCGGAGTCAGTATACTGTGTCTGAGTGGAGTATTCATGGTAAACTGCGGCATGGTATCTCAGTGAGCTAGCACTATAAATCGGCATCAGTCCGGACTAGTACAAGCAGCCACACACACACACACACACACACACACACACACACACACACACACACACACACACACACACACACACACACACACACACGTGCATGCACGTCGCTATATAAGTGCAATAATCTTGGACGCGACGTTAAACCCCATTTCACCTCACCTCACCCTTGGCCGAGCATCAAGCAGTGTCCCATCTTGTAACGTCATGTAGTATGACCCGGTCATAATATATACATCTGGCTAGGTGACCAGCTCCAGACCTGTTCCTTAGGACATGTTGACCCAAACATATGCATCCATACCTCTCAGAACTCCCACCGTATTATACAAACACAACGTTCCGGGTCACTATCGACCATGCTCCTGGAAATGGATGAATACAATACAAAACTAACCTGAAAAAAACTTTCAACAAATAATCTGCCTTTATGAGCATTTGTGACGGGTGATTTTAAATACGTTTGAACATGATTAAAGTTAAAAAATGTTTCGCATTTAAACATGTTTCGAATTCGAATTCAAAGTGCATAATATTTTCATGAGGCATTAAGTCAAATATGGATTATGTATAATATATTTTGAAATTAGATGCCCAAATCAGATTCACAGGCACTTGCATAACGCATATGCCACAAGGTCTTACAACGAACCTGGTACAATATTAACATAAGTGTACATCTCTTGTTAAGGACTACAAATCAAGAGGTTGTAGGTTCGTATCCCGCCGAGTTTAAAAATCTATATGTTCATAAAGGTGGTTTGCTGTATGACGAATAGTATTTCTCTCAAACAGGAAGCCGACAATGAAATTATAGCTGATAGACTACGACTACGATAGACACTTAACTAGTTTAAGTTCCCAAAGGGGCGGCCGGGTAGCCTAGTGGTTAAAGCGTTAGTTCGTCACGCCGAAGACCCGGGTTCGATTCCCGACATGGGTACAATGTGTGAAGCCCATTTCTGGTGTCCCCCGCCGTGATATTGCTGGAATATTGCTAAAGGCGGTGACCGTGTAAAACTTTACTCACTCACTTAAGTTCCCAAGATCCACTCACCTCCATTAATCCATTTATACTGCTAATATAGCTTTTCATTGCACAATTAATTTCAATATATATTATACATCTTATCTATATTTGCCTTATTGATTAATGATTTGCACTTTATTGAAACAGGTTTAAATTCTAAACATGTTTAAACGTATTTAAAATCTAAACATGTTTTAATGTGTTTAAATTCTGAACATGCTTAGATTATGGGAATGCTGTGTTTAGGTGGTGTTTAGGCTGTGAGACAATACTATTAGCTTATTTCATGTGTTTAGACCTAAATACGCCTCGATAGATCACACCAAATGGGTATACCGTTTAGGATTTAAACACATTCTTAATCATGTTTAGATCTAAACATGCCTTGTCTGTGTTTACATTCTAAACACATTTTTTACAGTTTACTCTCACTTTTGTCATCACTATTTAATAGTAATTCATATACACATGCTTACGGTATAGTCGGAATTGTACTGTGGAGTTTCAGTAGAACTTTCTTATGCTTATTGAAATGGTTTAGTAAACAAAAATAGCTTTCTACTTCTTTTGAGTATTGATGTGGTTGTATTGTTGTTTAGGTCCATATACATTTACATCAATTCACATGGAATGAAGGTTTGGAACGTAATAACACAAGTGGTATTACATTATTGAAATATATTTACATATTTTCTATATCATGACAGATTATCCCGCTGTGACAGGGGTGTACGGGATCCTGATTGGTAGATTAATTAAACTGAAATTCAGACCATTATTGATGAGTAGGGATTTAGTCTTGATATATATTTGCCAACTTGGGCTGATTAATGTATATGTTGGCCAATGGCAATGTTTTATCCCTAATCCCAGTTCGGAGATAATTGGTTTCAGAGATCAGTAAAATGCATTGTTCTTTGCATTGTGATCCTATTGGTTCCGTCAACACTCATCACCAATCTGTCCACATGATAGAACCTAATCTCGACCACCCTACAAAGCCTAATCCAAGCCACTGACACATACGTCAACAGACACGCGGCATTTCAATCTTATTAAGGGCATTTCAGGGTCCGTTTCGTTGCAAATGATACTCTGAAAGTTGATGAAACGAAACGCCTGGGTTCACCGTTACCTTAACCTAAAAACTCCATCAAGCCGACGAACACAATCGATCAGGAGAGGATAAGATCAGGTGTGGCCTGGTGATTTGCACCTGACAGGTGTTTAACACAGGTTGGGACCAACATCAGCCTTCATCTTCTCTTATCTCACGACAGCGTCTATCTGAGCATCGGTTGCAACGTCCATCTTCTCATTTACTGCAAATTACGGCAGCGATGGCCACGGAAGATTGCCTCTATCTGCAGTCTCCCGAGTCGCCAGTAGGACGTAATGGGCTATTTAATCCTGTTTAATAGACACGAGTCACTTTAGGCAGGGCTAGAGCAGCCAGGACTTCAAATGCATTTCGATAAAAAGATTCCGTACATGCGTTTTGCACATTAATAACGAAAACGATGTTTGCTGTAATGTGATTGCAGAAGATTTCATGAACGTTGGTCTAAATGTTTGTGTCAGTATTATATTAACCTACAGGTTAATCGTTAAGTAGGTGAAATAGTGGTATGGCCAATTAACAATTACTGTCCCACCCTAATCGAATAATGAAGCGCATGTACAAACTCATTTATATGCAATACCAATTGATGGGAAGATAGTTCTTGTGTTCAGGGTCTAAGTAATGAGTTTCGCACACTCAATCTGCCCATCAAATAGTAACATAACGGCATATTTGTAACAGTGTATGATCAAACGCTAATCATGTAAAGACTGTATAAAGAGCTTATGTGCAGATTGTTGAATGCTTAACGCAATGTTCACCAGCTTTGTTTGGAAAGCTTAAACAATTTAGCGGTTGAAAGAACGTTGAGATTGGATCAAATATCGAGTAAGCACAATTCATCACAGGATGAAACAAGCAGCAGGAAAAGAACACTGGACCTATCGGTGTAGTTGAGGAAACAGTAATTTTTGTGCAGCCATGATGTTCGTTGCTGCGTAGCGTCTGCAGGAGTGTATACAAACGTTGACAAGCACTCACTCCCAATATAGTACATGTATATACAAGCAAAGAGAGTCAGGTCTTTGAAAGGCATTTAGAAGTGATACACATAAGAAGAGAATTTCTTTATTTTGAGGAACTCACTGTTTCGGATTATATACTTACTCCTACTTCAGGTGAATGATCCTTCGTGGTTCACGTGATGAAGAAGTAAGCATGTACTCTGAAACGCTGTGTTCCTCATAATAAAGAAGTTGACATCCATAAACTCTCTTCCTTAAGTAAAGAGAGTGTCGATGGGCGTCACTTAGCGTAGACAAGAGTAGACATCGTGGACAATGGTTGACAAGTATACACGCGTGGCGATGCATCAACCAAGTCAGCGAGCTTGACCACCCGATTCCGTCAGTCGCCTCTTACAACAAGCATAATCGCCTCTCAAGGCAAGCATGGGTTGCTGAAGACCTAATCTACCCCGGATCTTCACTGGTCTGATGAGTGTTGACCAGTGTAGACGAGAGTTCGCGAGTGTAGACGAGAGTTCGTGAGTGTAGACGAGAGTTCGCGAGTGTAGACGAGAGTTAACGTTGTTGGTGTAATGATGCCAGTTTCCTTCCTGCTTCAGCGATGGACCTACCGGTCATCAACTACTCTGTGGTCAACGGGAGGAAGTACCGCTACATGTACGGGACAGGGCTCCAGGCAGCGCCGGGGAATCAGCCTACAGTACGTACCTGTGTAGTGGTGTCTAGCAAACGTGATTAACAACGCCAGCACCCACTGCAAGCCCATCATCTCCACCACCACCGACACAATCAACATCAACACTAACAACACCACAAGCAACACTACAGAAGCACTACTAACATCACTAGAAACCACCAACATCTACATCACCAAAGTCACCACCACCATCAACACCACCATCAACAACCACACTTTCAACACCAACACTAACAAGACCACAGACAACACCATCACCAGCACTATAACATCACTAATACCAACATCAACTGTTGTACTAACACTAGAAACAACCAACATCTACAACACCAACGTCAACATCAACACCAACACTAACAAGACCAGAGACAACACCATCACCAGCACTATAGCATCCCTTATACCAGCATCAACTGTTGCACTAACACTAGAAACAACCAACATCTACAACACCAACGTCAACATCAACACCAACACCAACACCGACACCACCACTACCTACAACAGGAACACTCACAACACCAGCAACACCAGACAACCCCAACGTCACCAACCCCAACGCCGACAACAGAACCACAAACATTGACAGGAATTCAAACAATTACATCTCTCCAAGAATCGCCAACACCAAACAACAACTAAAACAACAACAACAACATCACAAACCGCATCACTACAACCTCCTTAAGGTCTTCAGCACACCGAGTACTGATACCAACATATTCACCACTACCACAGCCTCCACTACAACTACTACTACTGTTACTGCCACTGCTACTGCTGCTTATGCTGCTACTGCTACTACTACTGCTACGGTTACTGTTACTACTACCACTGCTACTGTTGCTACTGCTACTGTTACTGCTCTTGCTACTGCTGCTACTGCTACTACTAGTGCAACTGTTACTGCTACTGCTGCTACTGTTACTGCTATTGCTACTGCTGCTACTGCTACTACAAGTGCAACTGTTACTGCTACTGCTGCTACTGCTACTGCTACTACTATTGCTGCTACTGCTGCTATTGCTGCTACTGGTACTGCTACTACTTCTACTACTGCTACTGCTACTATTGCTACTACTACTGCTACTGTTACTGCTGCTGATGTTACTGTTACTGTTACTGCTGCTACTGCTACTGCTCCTGCTACTACTACTGTAACTGTTACTGCTGCTGCTACTGCTACTGCTACTGCTACTGCTACTGCTCCTGCTACTGTTACTGCTGTTACTGCTACTAATACTGTTACTGTTACTATTACTACTGCCATTGCTGCTATTGCTGCTACTACTGTTGCTGTTACTGCTACTGTTATTGCTACTGCTGCTATTGCTGCTACTGGTACGGATACTACTACTGCTACTGCTGCTACTGCTACTGCTACTGTTACTATTACTACTGCCTCTGCTGCTATTGCTGCTACTACTACTGTTGCTGTTACTGCTACGATTTTTGCTATTGCTGCTACTGCTACTGTTTCTATAATTGCTGCTACATCTACTGCTACTACTACTGCCACTTCTGCTACTACTACTACTACTGCTGCTACTGCCACTACCCCACTCCCCACCACAACATTGCTTACCGGGACTTCAGCACAATGGCAACCCAAAAGGCAAAGTCTGAACTTTTTGTTATTGGTTTGTCTAAATTTTTAAAGACACAATTAGCCCAATTAAAGACTTGGTCGCCATACCGCTTCAGGCAGGAAGGAGCAGTTTTTTTTCCAAATCCAATTAACTTTACTCATAAAACAGATTGATTTTTCGTTCGCCTTCAGAGACTGACGTAATTTAACGATTTGTTAAAAAAAAAACACATAATGGGTAAACCCAAACGCAGCAGCATAAATCATTTGTTTTACTTTGCGTCAGGCGTACGTAATACGTTTACACGATAACTAATGTGTTCAGTGATTAGCAGGGCGGCATTTGACTGATCTGCCATCGGACAAAACATATTCATTTGTGGGGTGCACAACGAGACTCGTATTTCATTTTTTTAAAAGGTATTAACAAATCATTTATCTTCCATACCTACCCATTCTGTGTATTGACACACTCAGAAAGAGCAAGTTGTGTAAGAGGCGTGATTGATGCGCCTGTTCTACTCTGAATCTTAGTGATGTACATTATTAAAGTACCGGATTTCGCGGTAAATAATGTATTCGTCTTAAGTTGCCGTTTTTATTGATTAAGTGCAGCAACGGTTAGAGTTAAAAGATAGTTATATGTTTTTTCATCAGTTCCTTCAAATTCAGTGATTCAGTTTTGTTGCATTTTATTGTACATATTAGATATTAATTGTCAGACGACAAACATTTTAATGTATCTCAGTAAGTAAGGAACAATTCCGTTCCTTTGTTTTCAGATATTCAAGGTTGACATCAACGAGAAGACGACCTTGAAATGGTGCGAAGACGGATGCTTCCCTTCCGAAGCCATCTTTGTGCCGCGACCTTCAACTTCACGTGAAGATGACGGTAAGGAGATAGTGAAGGTTAACGCTGTAGTCAGCAATATTACAGATATGTGGGAGCTTGTAGTCAGAGATATAACAGCTCTGTGGTGGCATGTAGTAAGCGACCATACGGCTATGTGGTGGTTTGTCGTCAGCAATTTGACAGGGATGCAACGGGAGCATGTAGTCAGCAATATTACAGCAATGTGGTGGCTTGTATTCAGCAATGTTACAGCGATGTCACAGGGGCCTGTCGTCAGCATGTTTGCAGTGATGTCACGAGAGCTGCAGTCAGCAACAGTTACGTCACCGTGACGTGTAGTCGAGTTTGATCGAGCAATTAAAAGAAACACAATGATTGATTGCATGAAATTTCATACTTGGGGTAATACAAATGTCCAAATCATTTCACTGCTGTCGAAAAACAGAATTATTAATACGTTTATGACCTTTCCCTCTAAATTTACAATCTACACCGAAAAAGATGTTTCTAAAAAAAAAAAGGGTGTTGTTGAAAAAAACTGGAAATAAAGTGTTGCTGAAAACGCGGCATATGTCCTAAAAATGTGATAGGAAAAAAATATAATTGTTCACTCTTATGTACTGAAGCTGTGACCGGGAACATATTCTGTCTCTAACAACAAAAAACAGTCCCTCGCCTTCCATTCTCCCCGCTCCCACAAAACCATGAAATACATGATCGGCCCCCCTAATTTGTTGAGACTACTCTTAATGTTATTTTTACTTAAGTCTAGACAATTTAAGACCATTGAGTTGTTTGGCCCGTCATGTCTAATGCTAGAGTTCAGAACATTTGATGGTGATAGTGGGTGATACTGGGTGATACTGTTCCCCTGACCCTGTGTGGAGAGATGAGATATATTGTTATATACAGCCATCATCCGGAGGGAGATCCGCTTCAAGGCCTTGGCACTTGGTTATTGATGGCAGAAGGATGTTGATGAGATTAATGTTGATGAAGTTCAGTTTTGGAGCTGGAACCACCAGGGACACCAGCATTAGGATCTCCCTACACCTGATCTCCGAGCAGAATCATCTATTAATGTCATATTAATACTATTTTCTTTAGGAGATGATATTTCACAACTGAAATATTGTTTAAGAAATGACCTTTCATGTAATAATCCCATGGTGCATAGCATCAGGTTTATGGTGTCACAGGAGGGGATGTTTATATACAACGATGTCATGTATGTTTTACAATCTGTGTCGCTGTTGTCAGTTGTTTGACCTATTCATATATCTTATGAGGTAGGTTTATACCATGTGCAGGGAACATCTGGCCGGTCGCTCCACCATGGCAAGGTTGAGGTGAGGTGAGGAGAAATGGGGTTTAACGTCGCGTCCAAGATTATTGCACTTATATAGCGACGTGCCTGTACGTGGGTGTGTGGCTGCTTGTACTAGTCCGGACTGATGCCGATTTATAGTGCTAGCTCACTGAGATACCATGCCGCAGTTTACCATGAATACCCCACTCAGACACAGAATACTGACTCCATGCCGACCAGTCCTTGTTTTAGCCCCTTAATGATGAGCGCCAGACATGGTAACAACAAGTACCATTTTTTAACGTCTTTTGGTATGACGCGGCCGGGGATCGAACCCCGGACTTCCGCTCTCCGGGCGGACGCTGGGCAAGGTTGAAGTGACATATGGTTCTATATAGGCATAAGATGTAAGACTGTCAAATATGGGTGTAAAGAAAGCGAATACATAAAACACGTAAAACCGTAGAGCTAAACATATCCGGCATGTATTCTACACCAACATAGATATATTGTTTACAGGCTATAGTTAATTATATTGTCTGTTTGTTCCATGCATGAAATGGTAATGTGAGATTGTTTTATCAGAATACTGAAAAACAGTTCCAAAACGAACATATTTATTTAAAAGTTTTTTCTTTACTTTCAAGCAGCAGTGTCTCTGCACTTGTACACAACAGACGTTATTCAAAATTAACAAATCGTTTTTTGTTTCAACAAAATCAGTAAACTGGAGTTCACACTTCACACTTCACACGGGTGGCCCAGTCGTCTAAGGCGGCGCGATTCGCTGTGCAGAGTTGCGTCCCTTGGGCACGCCAGAAACCTATGATTGTGGATTCGAATCCCGGTTTGCCCCGATTATGTTTCTAGATTTGTCAGCACCATACCCGTGCTCGTGGGTTTCACCGAAGTGGTAAACGTCTGATACCTGCATCACTTCGGGCTTTCCTCCCACATTAAGCTGACACGCCGCGATATAACTGGAATAGTGTTAAAAGCGGCGTTAAACCCAACGCACTCACTCACTCATTGTCTGGTTTGTTTATATGCCTTCGTCGCATGGCAGGAGTACTGCTGTGTGGTGCCAGACAACAAACGCATACTTGTTAATGCTAAATGTGTACGTGGAGGGTAGGGCAGCACACGCGTACCCTTTTCGCGAACACTTGGTGACATCACTGATTTCACTGATTCGAGTGATTCATTCACATAATTTTCATTAACTATTTTGCATTTTACGCTCCATGGAATCTGTTTCGGCAGCTATTCGACTAAATCGAGACTGGTTGCTCTCTGGCTTTGCCATTGACCAACACCTGAAACAGTTGACCATTGACTACACCTGAAACAGATGACCATTGACCAACACCTGAAAAAGTTGACCATTGACCATCACCTGAAACAGATGACCATTGACCAACACCTGAAAAAGATGACCATCACACAACAACCAAACCCTGACAGACAAGATATTATTATGACAAAACTCCTATCGACAATGATTTCTATTAGCATTAACTTCCGCTTTGATGCTGCCGTCAAACCACTTGTTTCATATTAGCAGTGATTTGAAACCTCATGATCGTAATAAATAACAGAATTGTATAATGTCCTTGTGGGTATGATATCGTTGCAGGTATGTTGCTGTCGGTGGTTGGGACGGTTGGGGAGGATCAGGAAGACTTCCTCCTCATCCTGGATGCGGGCACCCTGCAGGAGGTGGCCCGGGTGGTGTTCCCTGGCATCCGGTTCCCAAAGGATCAGCATGGCGTCTTCCTTGATGGACAGTGATGGCGACTGTTAGATCTAACACCAAAGGCAGAACATTAAATAACCCCATTGATCCCGGAAAGTCATATAGTCAAAGGCAGAACATTGAATAACCCCATTGATCCTGGAAAGTCATATAGTCAAAGGCAGAACATTGAATAACCCCACTGATTCTGGGAAATCATATCATCAAAAGGCAGAACATTGAATAACCCCATTGATCCTGGAAAGTCATTTAGTCAAAGGCAGAACATTGAATAACCCCACTGATTCTGGGAAATCATATCATCAAAAGGCAGAACATTGAATTACCCCATTGATCCTGGAAAGTCATTTAGTCAAAGGCAGAACATTGAATAACCCCACTGATTCTGGGAAATCATATCATCAAAAGGCAGAACATTGAATAACCCCATTGATCCTGGAAAGTCATTTAGTCAAAGGCAGAACATTGAATAACCCCACTGATTCTGGGAAATCATATCATCAAAAGGCAGAACATTGAATAACCCAATTGATTCTGGGAAGTCATATCATCAAAAGGCAGAACATTGAATAACCCCATTGATTCTGGGAAGTCATATCGTCATCATTGAATAACCCGACTGATTCTGGGAAATCGTGTCACCAAAGGTAGAACATTTAATAACTCATTTGATTCTGTGAGATCATGTCATCATAATATTCAGTAACCTCAGTGAATCTTGGAAATTAACGGCGATGATATTTCCATACTGTATTGCCTGGGCACTTACATGTAAAATGTCCGTGGGCTGTCTAAACATGGCTGGTGTTGTTTTTGTATTGTTGTACTGTTGATTGTTTATGCATCTCTGTCAATGAATTCTAATATTCAAATAAATTCATGTATTTTAAATTTAGAAAGATATAAAAAGTTCAAACCAAATAGCACTTCTATGACAATAGAGAAACGAAGATGGAATAAAAAATGCTCTTCGTCGCATTTTTACGTCAATTATTCGCGGCATGGAGAATCGAGATGTCACGATGAAAGTAACATATAAAGGCGATTGCATAACGTGGCGATTCTCAGCCTTGATGTCACATTGGCAACACTCCATGAGGCTATACACCGTGATCGTGGTCCAGTGCCCCCCCCCCCCCCCCCCCCATTACCTGCGAAGATGTACATATAACACTTCTATTATATAGGTTGAATCTGGTTGAAGCGTTCCCTCGTAACGCGAAGGCCCGGGTTCGATTCCCAACATGGGTATAATGTTGTCCCCCGCCGTGATAATGCTGGAGTATTGCAAAAAGCGGTGTGGAAAAAAGCAACAACTCTCTCTTACCAATTCCCCGCCATCCATTTACTCAGCTACCGATTTTGTGCAACATACACCAGGATCAGCGTACGGGCTTGTCATGAACATTTGGCTGATGGTATGGTCGGGTTGGTTTGAGCACGAAGAGAATTAAGCTCTGGCGCTGAGAGAAACGGTTCTGTTGTCTGCGAGTGTAGAGTTCTTGTAAAACACCATTACAGATCCGCCGGAATAAGCGCATCACGTATGCTAGAGACACTTGGATTTGGACAAGAGACAGGTCGATAAGAACAACGACAATTCCACAGATGGAATGGTTTAACCTTATTTTACACTGCAAGTATTCAGATGACCTACGTCATGGAGCCTCCTCGCCGTTTGCGGTCAGGCACCGGCACTGTTTTATGTTTATGTAACACGTTACAGAATGATATAGACTAACATTTAGTCTCTGAAATCTTATATTACACAATATCCTTCTTGACTCTAAAAATAAAAAAAATTCCCTAGAGCTAGCTTGAGCTGGCTAGACTTGCTTTTGTATGCATTTCTAGATTATTATTTTTTCATAAAATAAATATATTCCACGGTCATGGTGCAGGACTAAGAATGATAGTACGATTTATGTAGTATATAGCATAATATATACTATAAGTCTATCACATTCTGTCTACAGAGTGAGTGGGTAGTTGAATGAGTGAGTGGTTACTTGTGGGAGCAAGTGGCTAGTTAAATTAGTGAGGGCATGGGTAGTTGATTGAGTGAGTCGGTAGTTATGTGAGTGAGTGGGTGGATTTGGGTAGTCTGAGTGACTCAGTGGTTGAGCAGCTGCGTGAATGCGCGAGTAGGTAGTTGAGTGAGGAGGTGGGCGAGTAAGTGGGTGGATTTGACCAGTCTCAGTGAGGCGTGACGACAAACGACTACGCTACCAGCGATTGGAGAATTTTACAGAACGTAGTATAAAATAACATGCGATACATGATCCAGGAATGCCGTCACATATACAATATACTTTAATAATATAATACGTGAAAACGACAACCTCCACTGCAGCCTCCATCGGCGTCAGCAAGCATCATCGTCAAGCTGCAGACATTATACGTCCGCTTCTTTAAGTTGCACCTCTCTCAGTATAGCGTGAGCGCAGGACCGTCGTGTGCATGGAAATTCCGGTTGCGAAATATTCAAACAGATAAACCAAGGGGCCGCTATCAGTAACAAGCATTACGCCATGTGTTAGCGATAGCTAACCGACTAATGCCATCACGCCCACAAGTGTTAGCACAGTACATCGATCACCGGCCTATACTGACATGGATCACTACAGTTGTATTTAAGCTGCGTTTTACACAAATTAATTAACAACAGCTAAAACATGTTGTAGAATCGAACGCAAGTGTGTTTAGACTGCCATATGTAGCAAGGTCGTGGGTTCGTTGAAACATCTGTTATCACCCAGACATATGTTAGCTCCGATAACACTACAAGACAGAGTAATACCGGATTAGCTATCATTGTCCTTATGAAACCGTGAAGTAAACAGTATCTGAATGACCGCGATCCTTATGCCGAACATAAACTATGGGCCTACAAGTGTCATGACACTTTATGATGAAGTGATCGCCAGTATACTGCAGTGTAAGCAGAAAGCGATAAATCACTAACCTTTGACAGTATAATGTAAGTAAACACTCCCGCCTATAACCTTAGGAACGCAGAGAATGCACTTCAGACATTGATAAACTCTGTTCAATTGTGTAAGAATTTTAAATAGTTTTGTTAGCCTTGTGTTAAAGGTTGCATGCTTTTTTTTTACATCAATCATAAGGTCATAATGTATGGCTTATGTCGAAGAAATGGTCTTCTTGAAGGAAAAACGTTTCTTGGAGTAAATGTTTCTCTAGAAGATGATTTCGCAAACACCTGGTGAAATCACAGATTTCAGTGATTCATCATATAATTTTCATCACTTTTTTTTTCTTTTACGCCCAATGGAATATGTTTTAGCAGATAGTCGAGACTGGCTATTGCCTGGCGTTGACGTTTTGTATTTAATTTTCCTCTTTCAAATTCTTTTTGAGGATGTGGTTCATTTCAAAGGCAAGGCATATTCAGAAATATTTTGTGGGAACTGTCTCTCCGAATTAACATAAAACTAAAGACCTAAAATGAATTCAACTATAGCACTGGAACCAAGGATCTGTGGATTACCTTGTTACATAACCCAAAGCATAACTTTAATTAATTATCCCATGATTTTAACCGGAGAACAACTAAAAGGAATTACCCTGTTACGTAGAACAACTTTAATCAATTACCCCCATGACTAAGATTAATGGGCCATTTTAAATGAATTAATCTGTTATTTAACCCAAAGAACCTTTTTAATGAACTACCCCCTTGACTTAAATGAAAGGACAATTTTAAATGAATTAATCTGTTATTTAACCCAAAGAACCTTTTTAATGAACTACCCCCTTGACTATAATGAAAGGACAATTTTAAATGAATTAATCTGTTACTTAACCCAAAGGACCACTTTAATGAACTACCCCCATGGCTTAAATTAAAGAGACATTTTAAATGAATTAATCTGTTACTTAACACAAAGAACCACTTTAATGAACTACCCCCATGACTTAAATTAAAGAGACATTTTAAATGAATTAATCTGTTACTTAACCCAAAGGACCGCTTTAATGAACTACCCCCATGACTTAAATTAAAGAGACATTTTAAATGAATTAATCTGTTACTTAACCCAAAGAACCTCTTTAATGAACTACCCCATGTTTTAAATTAAAGGGCCATTTTAAATGAATTAATCTGTTATTATACTCCAAGAACCTTTTTAATGAACTACCCCTTGACTTAGATGAAAGGACCATTTTAAATGAATTAATCTGTTACTTAACACAAAGAACCACTTTAATGAACTTCCCCCTTGACTTAAATTAAAGGGCCATTTTAAATGAATTAATCTGTTATTATACTCTAAGAACCTTTTTAATGAACTAACCCTTGACTTAAATGAAAGGAACCTTTTAAATGAATTAATCTGTTACTTTACCCAAAGGACCACTTTAATGAATTATCCCGTCACTTTAACCAAAGAACAACAAAATAGATTACCTATTCAAGGACCACATAAATGAAACTGTACTTAAACCAAAGGACCACTTCAATAATTGACCTAGTAATAATAAAACCAAAGGACCACTTTAGTGCATTAACCCGGAAAAGAAAGCAAATAATCAGGTAATTGAAATAAAATATGATATCCAACTTTTAAATATTTTGAATTGGAAGTATCTTTTGAATAATCCAAGATGTTTCATTCAGTCACTCGCAGCAGGCTGCAGTTTGGCGCAGACATCAATGGCGCTGGATAAGTGCGTGTCATATAACACAGGGCCTCCATGGACGACAGTTCAATCAGTGTTTATGTTGTTCATGAATCTCTAATATTTACATTGTGTACATGAAACACAGAAATGCAATCTCAGGAAAAAAACACAAGCCTGAATTACGTACAGGAATACCCGCAAGGCCGAAACAGTTTAGTCTCGGTTTCTGTACACTCAAACAATATTGGAGGAGGAGGGTGGCGTGTGTGATGGCGAAAACTGCAGCTTAGCATTATTTGTTTTTGTCCAATGACTACTTATGCAAATTTAAAATGAAATCTAGATTCAATCGATCGACATTAGACTTTTTGTCAATGGCGTCCCCGTGCTATTGACAGCTTCTTGAAGCACGGGACGAACTGGACGCTTGTGAGGAGTCTGTGTTTATTAGATAACATGCACGTCAGTCCGAGTTCCTGTAAACGAAACAGACATGCTGCAAGATATGAATAATAACGAGTTGATATTTTCTGTGCTGAGTTGCTAGTTTGTTAATATTATTTGATATACTGGAGTCCTGTCAGGCAGGGTCGTGAAGATGAAAGGAACCATGGGCGCGATCAGCTGATTGACACCTCGCGAGCGTTAGTCAGTCTTGAGTGAGAATATATGATATTGGATGGTTCCTTATCGCCAAAGAAATGTGCAGTTTGTCAAGTAAAAACTTCGTTTTTGTTGACGTCTTGACGAATTGAATCGTTTTAAAGGTGAGACCTCTGTCTATGAGTGAGTGAATATAGTTATAGCCGCTTTTAGCAGTTTTCTAGTAATTTCAAGGCGGGGGTCACCAGAAATACGTGCACATGTGGGGAATCGAACCCGTCCCTTTGGCGTTACAAGCGAACGCTGGGCTACCCAACTGTTCAACCAGTCTATGACACAATGTATGAGGACGTCAGCGTTTATTGTGCAATATGACTAGACTGTGATTGATAAGTAACGGTTTATTGAACTTATATATGTGGTACTACATCGACTGAAGGTACTACATCGACTGTTTGCAACGTCTCCCTTTTCTTCTACCAATACAAACACACTTACCTACAATCGTCGATAGCTACGAAGATTGATATACAGTTTACTCTTGTTATAACAGCAGTTATATCGAACGTTTTAACGATCCAAGAGTAAGTCAGTCAGAAGGTTTAACGCCGCTTTGAACAGTATTCCAGTTATATCACGGCATGTTACCTTAATGTGGGGGGAAAGCCCGAAGTGATGCGAGTCGGTCCTCCAAGAATGGTATTTCACGTTACTACAGAGTGAG